GCTTTCCTGCAGAAGTGAACACTTTAGGATATTTATTCTTTCCTTGTTTTATTTAGCATTCTCGATACATGAAATACAGAAAATAACTAGCTAATGCTTCCTAGATTTTGAATAAAGTCAATCTAACTTACACCTACTCCCTATCACCTTTTTGTACTGTATTATATCAGAAGATCATTACCTTTTCTCACATCTTATTACCAAGTTTTTATTAGTAAACAAGATTCGCAAGTGCAATAGTCACAGGTTAATTGCCTGCAAGTTACATTCAGCCTCCGTCAATCTTGCATGCGCGCATTACTTATATATGTAAACTTTTTAAAAATCAGCTAGTTGTTTGCATGTATGTGTGTATACGTGTTGTGAAGACTAAAGAGCATATCGCTTTGTGTAGTTGTCAAAGAATAATTGCCTGGGAAACGTGATCAATCCATGTAGAATTCAAAACGAACGAAAGAAAGCGAGCGGCTGTATCCGCGCTGCAAGTTATCCCAAGCTGTTGAATTGGTTTAACTTCTGTTCGCAAATAGCAGAATCCTGTGTGAAGTCTAAATTTGACTCATATGGCGCCTCGACACCAGTCATCAAATTGTTGTTAGATGGGTAACGTAATGTGATAAGCTTTGTTTCGTGCATCTAGATTTGGCTTTCAGTGCCTCTTCACTCTCTCCAAGCTAGTATTCAGGCCGTGTAGCAAGGGGCTAGTTCGAGGCTTTTTGTTTGCTGAGTTGATAACAAAGCCGTTGTCGCTTCTGTTGTTGTTGACAATGAGATCACGTCGCTTATTTAAAGTTTTTTGCGGGTTTGTCTCGTTCTTCGCATGTGCTGCCACAAAAAGTAAATATCGCAACGATGAGATCCTCCTTCGCCCTGTTGTCGTGACTCCGTGTCCCCCCCACACCCCAGAGATTTCCTATTGACCTTCTTTCACTGACAGAGTCCAAGCCTTTGTTTCTCCTTTACCAATCGTTCTACGCTATGTTCGCACGGAACATCTACTCCTAGCATAAAACTATTCCTTTCGCTTTCTGCTTTGACTACAATGTTGTCTCTTACCAGCCGACCCTATCAGGCCCCGACCGTGGTATCCTGTATTTCTCTACGACTTTTCCATTTATTCCACCAACCAGCCATTTAAGTTGTTCCTTCGATTAGTGCTTGTCGCCAGTCTTGGTCCCCCCGTAGCACACGCCTGGCTTCTCGATCGTCCGGAGTAGTAACTGCAGTGACATCAGCAGTAGTTCCTGCTAGAATCGTCGTAATAATCGTCGTAACCAATGTTATTGGCATAAACGCCGACTTCGTCGGTGGCTCACACTAAATGTCGCCTCATTTTGTCCGGTCGGGCGGTCCTAGTCGACTGGCGACGCCGAAAGAGAAAAGTGGGAAAAGTAACGATTTTTGAGGCGTCGTCACTGCGCAGCTGCCTGCCTTGTGGCCTCCTGCCGCCGTTGCTACAACAATAGATGCTCACAGAAGTAACGATAAAAGTAAAAAATACGGCGACGACAACAATGCGAAGTAGACAACATTGCTGAGCGACAAAAGACGTGAGGTGCATCGTGTTGAACAAGGGCAGCAGCAGAAACAAGTGAAAACAGTAGGCGGAGGTAAACCTTGGCTAAAATTGAAGGCTTGGGATGAGTGTAGCCCTGGCTCTTATCCTTATAGTACGACCCCATTATGCTGAGGAGGCATTGCCGTAGAAGGAAGCCAAAAAAGGAAAAAACTAGGCAAAGCCGACATGGGTTCATCGATTTACGCAAGTGTGTAGATGCTACGTACTAAAGACGGACTTTGTCGCACGCGTGAAGCCCATACCACGACGATCTCGATCAAACGACATTGAACCGAGTGGTGAAAGTACAATAAGCGGAACAGATGAAGCAAAGGCTGTCAAACTATTCTAACAGTGATACAAAATCAACTCCTAACTATCAGGGCGTGACCTACCGATCGGGTGCTCCTATGTGTGAAATGTAATCCCGCCAAAACCTATTTTTCTCTAGCTGATAGAAATCGGCTGCAGCCACAGTTTGCCAAGATCGTATCGTTGTCGTTTTATCGCTTTAATGATGTGCACAACTGTTTCTGCCAACATTTTCTTGTTTTTGTAATCACGCTCCTTTTGTTTGTTGAGTTTTACGGTGGCCGATGATATGGTCTTGTTAAACGTGATATATATATATATATATATATATATATATATAAAAGGTTTACAGTTACGAAATGCTTCGGTCTGTATCTGCGATCGCTTCCATGAAGTGTTCGAAGGATAATATAATACGGCAGTATCTGACCATTTATCTATGGATTACGACAACTTTTATTAACTGACAATTTCTGAGTAGGCAACATGCCCATCTGTCTATTTTTGTAGCCGAATATTTATTATTATTATTATTATTCATTCGAACGTTTATGATATAAAACTGGAATTGATATTAAAGTTTGAAAGGCTATAATGGTCACTGCTGTACCTATTGCATTTAAACATATACTGGCGCTATAGCACTTCACCAAGAAGGTATTTAACCTAGAGAAGTAATATACGGGTGCCCACATTATATAAGCGTTGCGCAGTTCAATCCGCTAGTAATTTACGTACCTCCATCTACTTTAATAGATGTGTATATATATAGGCATAAAATTAGATCGAATGTACAGCAAGTTTTTTCTACTCTTCTTCTACTTGATAAACAATTACAACCCCTGGCATCTTTTTATTATCAGAAGTTTTGCCACAACATCAATCTGTACATCTGACCAAGTGGAACAGACCAATAGAATAAAATTAGCAAAGTTAAATCGGTTCCCGAAGTCTAGCTGGTCCAGATAGCTCAGGTTCGTCGCTGCGGCTGGATGATAAAACATAGCTGGGAAAAAAAAGCTTATTAAATGCAAGGAAGGGCTGATTATTACTGAAATATTGTTAGCTCATCATTAGACCCAAGGAAATGCCCATAGGATCTCTCAAAGGTTGCGTTAAATTATTGTTACCATTACGACAATTTTATCGCCATTAAATAATTATCCGTAGACGTATTGCTCTCGTCTGAAATGATCGTTAGTTAGTACTCCCACAGTTATACTTGTGGACACTCTGGTATCGCCTACGTCCCCCTACGGCTCTCCCAGAAGCCTAACTAACTGATTCAACTTCGGCCAATTCTATCCGTCCGTGTTGAGGCAAATGGGGTTGTCGGCAACTGAAAGCAAACACCTTTCAGAGCGCGTCGGCACAATCGACTTTCGAGGCGGCACAGGCCTTCTAACGTGCTTATACGTTTTTATTATGGCGTTCTATAAACTCGTTCGCGCCACGTTCGCATATTCTTTGCGCAAAGTACTGATGTTTGTAGAGTACCATACGACCAAGCGTCACCCGGCTTCCCTGGAGCAATGCGCGATAAACGGTTATATCAATGGGTCCCGGAACGATGCGCGGTTGCGAAGGCTCTCAGTAGGTATTCAACATTGAGTATCGCCTTTTGTTCATGCCTCACCAGTTCCTTTTCACTGTGCCCCATTCACTCTTCTTCTCCGCCCCAGAGGTTCTAATTGGATCCAATACTATTAAATCTAATGGATGTTTTACAGACTAACGAGTATAACGAGCTATAGACCCATAACCAAAGAGAAATAGCTTTAATTTTTCTGAATTTACGTTTCCTGATGGACGGTGGAGTGTCGACGGCAATCTATTTATAGTTGTAGAGTTGTGTAGAGCTCTGTAAAGTAACTCTGTAACGTATTTCTCCGACCTGGGTAGAGGCGAGTCAGCACTATACTACTTTCAAACTAGCAATGTGAGGAAATAACATGATGCTGAAAAGACGCAAAGCTTCGTAAAACATAAAAAATGTAGTAGTAATTAGCTCTTACTATTTATAATAAGGCAGCATACGTTATGGTCGTTTAGTTGTTTAGTTCATACGAAATGTAGTATAGATTAGGCTGAAGAACATCCGATGTCTTACATCTGATAGAACTGTTAAATGGAAAACCAGCTCCTAACGGCATCTGGGGTAGAAACGCATGCCCAAGCTAATTGTCTAAAAGCATGAAACAAACCAACATATACTTTTTCTTTAGTGTTCAAAAGCGATTCAAAGCCTTACTACACTACGCCTTCGTCTAACAGGAGTACTACACCCATCCAGGCAGAACGTCGCTGAGCATAATGTCTGCTTTTAGCAGACAGCTTTGGCAACACGAAAATTAATATATGCCAAATGAGATCTTTCTACGAATGCATCTAGCTATAAGAACTGGTGCATTAACTTTGACAATTTCAACACTAAACACAACCATTTCATAAAATGGATGTGTGAATGAATCGAATCTGACTGCATTGGATGCACGACGTTGCTCGCTTTGATCTACCTTATTATTGCTAGTATGTAGTACTTATGTTGTAATAACTGATAAAAAGCCGTCTTGCAAATTCAACATGTTATGGAACATGAAAGAGCCCAAGATCTGTTGTTCCTAGTAGCAATATAGATATAATAGAAACCAAATCAATGAGCTGTCCTCATTTCAAACCTCTTCTAACACGGATTAACTTAAATCTCCTGTTTCTACTTCCATTCGCATTGTGAAGCACCGCTATGGTTCTTCTATACCTCAAAACATGCAGTACAAATCGAATGATAAACTCATTTGAGACTTGCAGCATTTCAGAGATGTTCGAGCTTGCTTCTTGCTTTACCTTTCTAGCAACCTGGCACGAGTGTAACCCATTGCCAAGGCCCCAGTTCCCTGCCGATCTAACTGGTCGTCAAGATGAACAGCCTCGAGTCCTGACGTTGATCGAGGTGGCGGAAGTTAGTCCTTATTTAAACACTTCAGTTCCCTTTCTTTTTCGCCCTCTCCACAGCTTGCCCTCTCCATAGAATGAGCATGCGGCGCTAGTTACCCCACGTGTTTTAGCAGATGCGCGACAATTTTGGACCCGGTGGAAGCAATGAAACAGCAGAGTTACTTATTGGCCGAGTCTCGATTCAACCCTTGATCAATCAGGTAGCAACTGAATTTACTGCTGTTATTTGCCGCGCACAGCCATTAAAAGATATAGAAATTAGTTTTAATGTATGCACTTTTCATATTTAGCGAATGCGGCAACTCGATACGGAATGTACGTGTGTGTATGGCAGTGAAGCTACGATTCGCGCTTGTTATAGCAGTTCAATAATTTGGTGAAGTCGCTGTAACAACGGTAGTGTGTCGTAGTGATCGCAGGTGAAATGGTGTCCGTTACGTGATCTTCATACTCCGGTCTTCCAGTAAATGGACTCAATCTTCCAATGGAACTAAGATAGTAACGATGAACTCGACAACGGGCCTCGTTATTAATATGTTCGAGAAAGGGAGCAATACGCATTGGGTCACATCGAATCCTTTATATCAGTGACGGTGGTCAGTGCAAATAACAACGTCGAACGGAGTCGAAATTGAAAACGATAAAGCGATAACGACCCATAAGTGATATATAGAGAGACAAAGTAAAGGATACATCTAAAGGCTCAGTGGAGTTATCAGATGATGTTCGACATTCCGACGATATCGGACTCGTTCAATACCTGGCATAGAATTCGTGCCCCCACTATTAGTCGCGGCCTACTGGACGAGTGGCCAAATAGACATAACGTAGGCAGGCCATGTTGGGTGTTGATGAAAGTGTTCTTCAGTTTAATGTTGTTGATAACATGGAGTTCTGCTATTAGCTGTATAGCGGCGATTGTGCATGGCCCGAACGTTGCTCATGAATGCGACTTTCTTCCGTTGTGTACATGTACACATTCGATGGTTACGTGCGTCGGCGTACCTATTTTCACCCTTAAAGGTACAGAAATCTACGTGAAAATAAAAAGGACGATAGTCAAAGTTAAGAACAAATATACAACTACATATATGTATCTAGGGCTTTCCCTCGAATTATTTATTTCGTTTTTTTCTTTTAAAATAGTATTATTAATTGAATTTTTCAATGGTATTAATTGATAAATTGTTGTCCTTTTTGGCAGCGTGCAAATAATTGAGACCATAGAGTAGAGGTTAGAGTTGTTTTGCATGGAAGAACCAACCTAATGATTTAAAGAGAAGACTCGAACATCAGATTAAACAGTAGCAATACGAATGCGTATAGTGAATGAAAAAAAGTGACACAGCGAGGAAACGTGAACATATCTTTCCAGCCGGTCTTCCGTTGTACTATATTCAGTAACAGTGCTGTCTTACGCCTTCTAATATCATGAAGAATCGGCTCTGCATTTTTGCACGATGATCATCATTAAAACTACATAAATTTTCGTATTACGCTGTACGAGACTTAAGCAAGAAGAGTCCAAGGCCTTTGGATGTATATAAACTATGTACAGATACAACACGCATATATGTTACTTTTGAAAATTTTCTTTTAAAACTTCCTTTAAAACATTGAAAAGCATTTTAAAACCTAAAATTGAGAATAATAATAACATCATTGCAAAGGTAATCAACAGCTACATTTCCGTGCGCTTCAGATCATCATACCCGGAAAGAACCTTTGTGTGAAGTCAGTAAAGAAAATTTCTTCAGAATAGATTTGATATGAATTCTTTGTTAGGTATTCAGTTATTCGATCTTGGTTTTCAGAAATATCAAAATAGTAGCGCGCACGGCATCATGAAGCGCCCATATCATTGTACTGTATGATATATAATAGTTTCAAATGAGCTAAAACAAGCGCGAATTTTATGTATACACACGCAGAAAATCGGTTTTTAAAAAATTTCTAACAACTAATGTTTGCTAATATCTTTGTGAAGGTCCTACAAAATGGGGGGTAAGCTTTTGACACAGACCGCTGACTCACGATTTCATGATATCCGTCCACCAGCGAAGACAAATTCATCATTCAAAACTCATGTTTCAAAAAATGAAAACTACTTATAATTTTTTAAGCTATCCCTTTACGCTTAGTGCCCGTAGCGACCACGACGTATTTGTCGTACCATCTCCTCTTTTTTGTTTTTGCACAGGGTTCGTTAGTACATAATTAGACTGGATAGGATACAAAATTTATTTCAGGGAAAAAGACGACCTTGATTTTCTCTATCAGGTCGTTTTTGTTAGGCAACCTTGTTTACTTTATCGAACTGGGTCATGTACCCATTATTGCTGATTGTCTGGTCTGTTTTAAAGATTTCATTCGGCTTGGGCTTATATTCCCAAAACAGGCGCCCTTTTATGCCCTTTTATTTGCTTTACAGTAATCTAGAGACATCATTTCCCGTTATTCGTGACAATTCTGTGTAGGGATCTGCCGTTATGGCTGCGTATGGGCGAGATGTTCAGAAACAATGTGAACTCGTTGTCCCTTCTGTCCTTCATTCCATACATGGAGCCTCTGTTTGATAAAATTCCATAGATTTGAGACGTCTGACGATGGTCAACTGTTTGCAGACCAGTAACAAGTCGTTTACCATAAGAGGTAAACAATATTTTATCTGTAATTCATGCATCCTTCAGATTCATCATAAAGCAAAATTATTATCCAATGGCAGTATGAAGAAGAGAGCATTCTCGAGAAATAAACAAATAATGAATATAAAGAGGAATATTTGAAAAAAAAGTAAAAAACATACAAACTACACCAATATCGTTTATTGGAAATGTTCCGATACTTATAGATACTTAATAGATGCGATCCTTTTACTATACGGTAGCGTACGCATGGTGTTGAGATCTGTAAAAAATAATTAGTTGATATTACTGAAATTTCCGTTTCTCCCATCTAGCCCGTTTTAACGTTTATTTATAACGTCATATTTTCTGGATATCTTGCCGTGTTTTTTGATGTCTTTATAAAATTTTAAATCAAACCTTAGTGGTTTGCTATAACGACAATCACGCGCCTATTGACATGCGTTTACATTTTTTTTAGCAACAACTGGTTAATCAGCCCTTAACTCGCTCTTAACTGAAACTACTCTACGCAGGCCAGATCTTAGGCCTTATGGAACGTTTATAGACCGCACAGAACTGCTGAGCAGGCCTCGACGTTTAGGTACCTAAGTTTCGTTTGACTCAATGATAACTCAGCTTATAAAAAGAATTTCAAAAACAGGAAAAACAAATTGCTTTCCTAGATGTACTGCTATGCAGAGAAGTATTTTTTCGCTGAAAAACCAGGACCACGAAAGAGCGGAACTTTGAGTGTCGGATTGCGTCATTAAAACAATCCAGCATTTCCAACCCTGATGCATATAATTTGATGAAAACGGTAGTCAGAACTTTCGTTCATGGTATAATATAAATAGAAAAAAAACATATACATTTGTTTCATTGAACTCCAGCTAAGTCAAGGATTAGTTTTTATATGCTTGTACTACCTTCTTGATGTTTTTGCATTTACAAACAACGTACGACACCATATTATTTTGGTGTTAATAATATCAAGTTACACTTACTATATATTATGGGCTTTGGTAGACAATTGAGTTGAGAAGCAAAAATTCGCAATTTTTTCCTTTCCTAACCTTCGTCACCACCTGCACTCTTGTCAAATACAACTTTATAATGTTCATTCATGTTAAATTTCCTCACATAGTTGCTTTAGCACATTGGTGGTAAAGTATGTTACGGAAATATTGTCATCCTGCAATTGAGTCCTTTCGGAATCATGCGTGCCACATGAACATGTGTTTGATCTCTCCGTAACCTGCTTCTTATAGTGTGTGATTAAATAATTCCTCTGCAATCGAAAAACATACGTTGTCAATAAATATCAGTATATGCAAACAGATGCAGAACTTTGAAGAGGGGAATCATTTTCATCAAATTGTTTGCACTATCTAAGATTCTACGAATCTAGCGTGCACTTCCATTCATCGAATGCGAGAGCTAAAACGAGGAATAGTAGGTCGAAGTTCTCCATTATTATCAAATTTGGTAGCTTGGAACATTGGTCCTCTCGAATATCGATTGCCCAGGTAGAACGGACCTTATTTGTATTAGCCGGCTACGTCAGTAGCCTAGTGAGCAATGCTCGAAGCATCAGGTCCTCTTCCTTATTCCTGACTTTAAGAACGTGGTTGACGTTATGAGAATATAAGTACTGACCAAGTCACCGCGTCAGGACGTGGCGTGATTACGGCTCGGTTAACCACAACAGGATAGTAAGTAGGCCCAAGGCGGGTAAGAGTCAATTTTGTCATATTCACTATATAAGCTAGGTACGCTTTTCAAATACCTTTGAGTGCGTCGACAATCTGTCGAATGATCTCGGCTATATTTGCAATAAGGATAGTTCCAAAGTTCGTGAAATGAAGTCTCAGGCTGTATACGTCGATCTTTACGCGCGGAATTTTTAGAGTGTCTACCTTGTAATAATCTACCAGATTGCAATCGGTGGCAGGGAAAGCCACATAAATAACTCAAATGAGGTTTTTTATATTCGAAACGGGTTTATAAGTGCTATCGCTGAAATGGCGATATTGACACTCTCCAAACTCGGTAAATTTGCTAAATTCTAACTAAAGTTCACGCGGAAACATTTTATATCTTGTATTGCAACATTATTTTGAACGAACAGGTCTAGGACAACAGACAATAATAATAAAACTGCCTATTTAAGTTGGCATAGTTTACCATTATGGCTTCAACGCGTGACGTATATCCTCATTTAACTCAGTTTCTTTTTCCTTAATCGGTTCGATGTATCACGACAGGTTTATGGGTCATACATACATAATGTATCAAAATATATCCATATAAAGAAATTGTGTCCATCAGTCGCATTGCAGGCCGCACGAGAGAGCCCAAATTGTTCGTGTTCGTTTAGGTAATCATCATTCATGCACCTAATGCTATGTTTGGCGTCTTAGCGTTTGGGAACTTACGACACATAATTATGTTTTTATAGATGCCCACGTATATGGCCTCCGGAAATTCGCAAAGTAATCTATTCGGTATCGACATTCATAACTACAGCCACTAGTGTTAACTTCGGGGAGAATGCATTCAAACCCTTACCCAGACTAGTAACACATCACAGTATCAATAATGGACCGCAGCACTCGCTTAAAGGACTGGCATACAAAAAGATGATTTGACGTTCTAATATTGTACAAAGATTTTTAGTAGCTAAACGTTACAAATTACAGATATCGATACAGATCCCATCTAAATCATTGAGGTATTCAGTGCTCACTAACTTTATAGTTCTGTCGTGATGACTCTATAGGAACGTCCCGTTAAGTAAATCTATTTTCCATTAGAAACAACCTAATTTTATATATGGCTAGATTGTAAACCTAGATAGACGTAAAAATACGTATGTTGCACACTAGGACGTCAAATAGATTTTCTAACGTAAGGGCGGTACTGGAATTTTAAGTGTAGACCCAAGACTATCTAGCCTGTGTTGGATAGCTTCAATATAATGTTACCTAATGACAGTAAAAGTTAATTCACACATAGGGCCCCACCATATGGGGAAAAATATTCATGTAATTTACATTTTATACGTAATACTCGTCACGAAAGCATGTGCCCGACATAAGTATATATCATACTCATTATCTATTGTAGTGTGTAGTCTGTCATTTCAGGCATACATGATAAGTCTGCTATTGTCGCCTTTAGGGGATCTCTAAACCCACTTTGCTGTAAACAGACGTATCAACGCAGCAATGTTCTTCAGTCTCGGACAAAATATTCAAGCGAAATTCATTTAAAGAACTTAAATGCACTATCAACCTGTCAAAGTGCAGATGAATTCTAAGTAGTATTTCGTTGGGGAATTTAGGTACCACTCTTCAAGTGGTTCCCCAATCATCTCCGAGAGTAACGTAGTTCATATTAGGCATCAGCATAATGTGAGCTGCTTTCTCTGGCATAAGACTGTTGTCGAGATTGAATTGTAACTTCCTAGCTAAGGTTAAGTAGTACTTACATTAGCTAGTCGAATTTAGCAGAACTATTTTAAAGAAAGTTCCTTTCCTGCGCCCATTCGTGATGGGTAAGCATAGCTTTCGTATGATATGCCTTGTGAGCTGTGGTAGGGAGAGGTGAAACGATGTCAAAATTTCGAGTTCCGCGTAAGTTGATTAGCCATTGGATTTAACCATGTTCCTGTTCTGAATATTATGGCTACTTACGATCCATCTTGCGACGCTACTCGCGTTCATAATTCTCCCGCTCACAAGAGTTGCTACAGAATTGTTATTACTACAGAACAGCATCGAGATACTGATTTGGCTGTAGATTCTCTCCAGCTGCTGTTTCAAACCGCCTAGCATAATGAAGATGCGCATTGCAAGCGAAAAAATGGCCGACGTATTGTCCAGTGGCAGTAATAGCACTAGACAGTACGTCGGCCGTACAAAGTCAGTCGTATTATACAACTGTAGATGCCAGTCGTCGTATAATCGAATAAACAATCCACCCGATGATTTTAGACAGACGTATCGCAGACGTACGGTAGAAGAAACAAGCAATACATGAAATCAATGCATCTGTTTTAGGCTTTATACTAGCCGATACGAGGAATACCCTTCCGGGCCAATTTATTATGCCAAGGACTTCATTTTGGAAATAAACCTCTCCAATACGAAACGTTTTTGTGATAGATGGGCCAAGGGACCCGGCGGATATTCGGTCCTGAATTATCGGCCGTCCAAGCATTTGCCAGGTAGTGGAACTCTGAACTAATAACTGAAAACCATATAAAACAGACGTACCTATATGTGGATACAGCAATTTATATTTTAAATGTGTTAAAAATAAATATGTTGAACAGTTCTATTTGGTGCTCTTAGAGCTCGCAATAGTTTTTTACATTCGTCGTGATAGGGAGGTACGTTGAATTCACTTAAAAACTCTAGACAAAATAACTGAAATGTAACAAAGTGAAGGAGGTACTAGTTCAACAAACGGAAGCACGTACGCTATATATCCCAATGGTCACACCCTAAAATATGAATGAATGAACGAACTAACGCACGGGACACTATTGCACATCTGCACGATAATTAATGATGATTTTCATCATCCGTTTCATCTTCAAATTCGTCATAGAAAGGGAAGTGCAACATCCAAAATGTCGGACCTTGATGCATTTGTCCATTTTTCTTGTCTTGTCACCTCGGCTTCAATATTAGATACATATATTCGCCATGTCCTTTTTCGGTACACGAGAAGCGAAGAGCTGTTGTAAAGCTTCGAGACGATGTGCAGGTAACGAAATTCCGAACCATGCTTTTTCATCAAGCAGTGACATCTGAGGCATCCCTGCCTGAACCACCGTTGTGACGGTTGGGGTCTTATGGTTGCAGTATAAATCTAAAGATCTGGATACTGCGACCGCTATGATTCGTCAGCCCCGGCGAAAATTGAACGCGAGTGTTAAACTATAATAAATGGCCACGTACACGCTTCTCAGACTGAACGGCGTGAGAGTCTACATGCTAACTTGATAATTGCAACAACCTAGGACTACACTGGCAGACCCTGTGAGCTTGGCGAAGACGACGTCATAAAGCATACAACAAGCTTATGTGAACTTGCCAGCTGTTGAGGTTTTCTGACAGCGTAAATGAATTTTGCTCTGTTCGCTTGGTCCTCGCCAGCTCGAAGTCGATTGACTCGAACTACCTTATATCGCTGGCTTCTCGTGAGGGGACAAATCTGTTCAAATGATGATGCGGACTCGATATAGGGAGCAGCATATGCGTCGTAGGTCACTGTGACGTGACTTGACGCTTGCGTGACGTGGGCGGGGTCAGAACATAGATGGAGCTGAGGAATGACATGGTGATGGTCGAGGAACCAACTTTAGAGCTGTCATCGTTCACTCCTCAGGGGTTTTTGTCCAGTGTGGATCTATACATATTTTAGAGAGGGCAACGTGCCTGTAAGCATGCTTGCTTTATCCTGCTCTCACTAACAGAGTGCTTCATCATTAATAATCATATTGGCCAAAAAATTAACATTGACTAAGTGTTTAGGGTATACCGATCAAGAATTGCGATAATGTTTCTTGGGAGAAGATCCAATACCTGCGGTAGACTTGGGGCTAAAATCGGGCAAAAGAGAGCAGTGAAAACATTCGTGGTGGGCGGAGAAGAACCACCGCTTGATTGATTGTCGTTAATACGCTTTTGTAATTTGACAGGAAAATAGGGAGCAACAGATAAATTTGTATGTTTTATGCATGTGGATGTGTTCTGTCGAATACTCTTTATTTTTGACTTAGTTTAGATGAATTTGTTTCGTTAACTGGAGACATCGCTTGAAACTGCTATATTCTATACACCATCGTATGTTGTAAATTTAGTAAAATATGTCGTATGGTCTACGCTTCATGGACCTAAAAAAACGAGAACAAAAAAGGCAAATAGACCAATGTGTTGATTGTGAATACGTGTTCAATAAACACGTAATGAGAAAAAACTATATTTTAATTTTTATGTTTGTAGTTTTATATAAAATATACATCAGTTGTTTGACCAGGTAAATAAAAAGATACTGCGTGTAGTTCTAGTAGTCAAAGCGAGACATCCTTGAAGTTTAGGGAAACCGAGTTCTTAGAGAAATATAGGACTACTATAAGTGAGGTAATAATGCTGAAGTAAAGATACTAAAGTTAATAACGCGACAAAAACTATAAGTATCAGGTCGCATTGAGCATAAACGGGTTTGCCTATTTGGTTCAGGTCAAAGCACCTTTGCTGTTAAAGTTAACTATGCTCAGTTGACCTGTTGAAATGACTTATTTCAACTTAGAATTAAATCAGGCCAAGCTAAGTTTTCATACTTGATAAGTAATACAAAAATACAGAATGCGGCAGCTTTCTTACTGGTTAGGTGAGAATGGCTAGTCATTCTATGACCGCACATGTATGGGAATACCTATATTTTAAATAAAGGGATCATTTAATCAAGATGATCACTAAGTTTGTAATAATCTACATTGATTTATAAATATCTACCATTATGTATAAGATAAGAGTACCGCTGAGGAGGTTACTTGGGGTAAAATGTCGCTCCTTGTGTTTTCATAAGCACGGTCCTTTGATATTCTTGAACGATCTAGACAGGTAAACTTTGCTGAAGGTGTAGATACTTTGTAAAGTATATTCGACGTGACAGTGGTCTGGTGGCTGTTTTTTGCCTATCTGATGTTACAATTTATGGTGTAGCTACCAGGAAAGCTTACAAAAAAAATAACGAAAAATACAAATTTCAAAAAAGTCAATAAACCTGTGCTTGGACCTTATGCTTGTTTATCTGTTGTTCTTCATCGTCAAATGCGATTTTGGTAATGAACTTTGCATTACTCAGCTAATAATAAGTAAATTGTCCCCTGCCTTAGCCCACCCGACTCAGAAAAGTTTTTTGCTTGATAATGTTAGATGCCCCCTTGCAATACGCCACAATGTTTGGAGGAAAAAGTGTGCTCTTAAATATCACAAAACATTTACACGCGATTTTTTAGGTTGATAAACTGACAATTTAACCAGGTTTTCTCATTTGCTTGATCTTGGTGATTGAAAGCGACTCATTTTGACTTGCGCAGAAATTCTAGGACATCGGTGAACAGTTCCAAGCTAAGATATGATAAGGATGAGCTGGATCCATGTTGTGAATTATTTTCCTAGATGGTAACTGGCGCATTAAACGACCACGAGTCTGCGGCATATAGAAGGGGTGATACATTTCTAACGTACCAATTTACCATGGAGAAAAACAGCACAAATCCAACAGGCCTTCGTATCTGTTTCGGCCCGTATTAGGTGTGAACTGTATAAACTCGCCCCGTGGTGTGTATTATCTAGGAATAAATCCACATCATTTTTTACAGCGATCGGCCAGACACTTGATATCTTTCGCGCTTATCATATTCCGATCGAAGTCTGACCCTGCCTGTAGTGATTTTGCGATCGAGCAATACAGGTAGATTAGAGAGTGGTATATATTCGAAGTTTACACACTTTCGCACATGCATCTATATATACGTTATATGCGCACATTGTATTGCTGTTTTCTTCAATTTGTAAATATCTCTCCAAAATTTTGGTTAGATTGAGATTTTTATACTCGTATGACTAAGAAAGGAAATGTCGAAAATTTCGGTGCAAGCCTTAAGCAAAGTATAATTTGATTTACATGCTTACCAGGCTTGTAAACTGGCTAGTTTCCACTAACTTTCAGATAAGTAAGATAAAAAAGTTTGGTTTTCAACATATTTCATGTTTACGCAACTTACCGATTAAATGAATTAGAAGTACACCGACTTCTTACACACAGTAAATTACCCCAAATATAAATTACCTACCACAAAAAGTCAACTGCCCAACTCGGAGTTTATGTATACCAATTAGGCTGTTGAAATAAAAAAAGAACTGTTTTAGTCGTTTTATAGTCTTATCTAATAATAATAATTTTAGCTAAGAAGGTGTTTTTAGTTACAGGTAAATATTTTACGCTTGACCGTTTGAATAATCTAGATTGGCTCAAGACTTCTTACTTGGAAGGATCTTAGCGATTTTGTAGGTGTATTGTAATGTTCTAGGGCATGACAAGCTTCATAATCAAATTGACTTAGATGTATGAAAGGGATGAAGCACACGTTAGATATTCCTTCGCTCAATTTACGAAGTAATTGAGGCGTGACGTAAGTAATCTGCAAGTTTTCGATTACTATGCCAACAGTGCATATGGTCTTTGAAAAACTCGAGATAGCGGACCGTATTCATTGTTTCATTTTTTGTTGTGTTTCGGCGAGTATCGTAACAGACGTCCCTGATATCCATTGCAAGTACTATCGTTACTCTACGCCCGACATTGCTCCGAACTATTTGACGTTGCCACCAACCTGGATTTCTCTCCAGGGCGACGCCATTTATTCGCCTAGATCCTTTTTGACTGGCGGTAGACATCCAGCCGCGGCTCGTCGATCGTACGCTCCAGGCGGGTTTTTTGTTTATTAAAGTTCTGCAGATTTTATGTGTTATAAACCATGGACTTTTACAACTGACCTGAAGTCAATTTATAGGGAATCCATTTTTGCTCAATTTCAATGTTTTCAGAATATGGATTAGAATTCCGTAACACGTTTTAGACTCCAAGCTCTAAGTGAAAATCTTGTTCGACTACGACAATACGCTTTTACCTTTAAGGACCCGATATATAACCCTCTGATTGCCACTCCGCAACACTTCAGTTTCCGCTATTTGATAGTTTACATCATTCGTGTACCATTTTCGTATAAGACCTCCTTGCTCCATTTATGTGCTTACCACCTTTCGATGAATTTCATAGCGTTGTGCCCTTCTGGTAGCAACAGCTTGATTATTTAGCGTTGATTCTGAATACATTTCTCCCTCCCGAAGTAAACTCGTCGACAAACTATATAAAACACCATATAAATTTATTATTGTTAGCTGGTTTGGGTAGAAACTGTCGCCCGAGAGGTCCACGTCTTCTCCGTACTCTGGCGATAAATAATGACCCTAATAGTAGAAAGATGTTTTTATGGGTAGCCAAGTGAAGAGTCGATACATTTAATTGTTTTGAAAAATAAATATCCATTATTCATTGTAATCATGTCTACAATGGTTTTAAAGGGTTTTTCATAAAGCCCCAAGTTGTTTCCCTTAGCATATTCGTTTACTGCCGTAAGTCTGAGACAACCTATGTTCTGAAGTAAATCAAACCTTGAGGTTGAACTTGTCTCGAATAAATTATATTGTGTATTCGGACACCCTTGGATACGTGACTAGGATGTCTACAATCATGGCAGTTACGAGCGCCGTTTAATTATTGGCATCTTTGACACAACAGAAATATACAATTTCAACTGTCAAATATACATTTCCCCACGGCTCGACATAATTTCTATCATCTGCTTTAAAAACACGTGAACATTTTATTCACTTTAGCTTCACTTTAGAATACAATATACGAAGAAGCCAATAGAAAAAATTAAAAAGATCTCGTGTGGTTGTGGTGACACAAAAACAAAAAAAGAAACGAAGGACTTTTTTCAAGTCCTCGCATGACAGTGACGAAGAAACGCACACTTAAGCTACCTCCAAGAACAAGTTGAAATTGAGACTCAGTCTGTACATTGGCCTGAACCTCGATAAGCCTTTATACGATGGAACACCTATCTCTGTAATGGAAAACCAATCAGACAATTTTGCTTAATAAGCTATACAATATATGATGGAGGGGACTGGCGGAAAAAAAATGGCAGTAAGCTACAATTGTGACATCAGGATATTTGCTAAGGAATGTGATATATAATTTGTTGATATCGTGTTAGAGCGTCACCCTGCCGCTGGCCCTAGACCGGGTCTACCTAATGGATAAAGGAAAATCCTGTTTGTGTTTTTTTTTTCTATTATATTTCATTCGCCTTTTCATGTCACTGATTGCTTTGAAAAAGGTACATCGTTGGTCAAAGCAATAATGTGCTTATGTTACCACGATATAATTTAATTTTTAAGGAATAAAGTACGAACATCATATGCTCGGACATACAAAAAGTCATACCCAAATCGTGCTATGCAAATATAAAGCATTATACTTTTAATTCAAACATGAAACACCCATAGGGAGCCTCCCTAGGAGTTGCTTTCAATGCATATTACCTATGACGGATCTAGGTTACCTAGCACGAAAGCACAAGATAAAGCATTTAACTATTTAAACATCGAATACGTAAGTTATTTTGCAGTATATGTTACATATAGGATCACCTTTCAATCCAGTATCAGTGGCCAACTTCGTTATTGGATGTTTACTAATGGCTCGGAAAACATGCAGAGGTTGAATCTAAGCGGGTCTACTACGATGCTTACGACGTTTGTTTATTAGGAAAACAAAGTTGTAAGGAAAAACAATTATTTTAGACATTCAAAATTTTACATTTAAGTGCGGTCTATAACCAAATCTACTTGTAATGAACTTGCCGATTGTAATCTAATCTTTTTTGAACATAAGGCGGGAAAAATATGTTGCGCGCGCTTCGCGACAAACGTGCATGTACAGTGCTGCATTCACAACGTACGTTGGCATATTCATACATTAAAAAACGTTGAAGTGTATAAGATGTTTCACAATACGCATATGACCGATCGATAATATATCCATGTACGTTACAATCTATGCATAGATGTTGTGTCATTTTCATGGCTTCTGAGGAATAGCGGATATGTACGCTGTCAATGTCAAACAAAAGAAAAACACCCAGACGGTTAAGCGGCGATTCTTCTCATAGAAAATATTCAAAAAGGAACTTCATTGTTATTTAGAGTAAATCTTACTTTACATTGAATACACAGCAATTAAAATCATTTTCGCTGCAATTTTGAGATTAGCAATTAAAGATTTCTGCAATTAGAGATTCATGAAAGCTAGATTTCGTTGAATTTCGTGACCGCAAGTTCTTATCCGAAAATAGTAATTCCGAAATCGGTGTCAGATTCACTTCAACTTTATTTGTTACGTAAACGAATCCATTAGAACGTAATATCTCGCTTGTCCTTACGAGACGGTTTGTGCGTGTCGTTGAGAAAAAAATTTACTTGAATAACGCGTTCCTTCATCGAAAGTGATACTTATTCAAACGAAGCCCCAGGGACCTTCACTATCGATAAAGTTGTTTACTGCCGACTAGCACAACATATATATATCGCCGCGAGGTTCAGCTGGGACACCTTACCACTTGTCCCGTTTATGCACGTCAACTCTTTGGAGGATACAAACACGTCCGCATGCACAAAAGTAAAGCAAACATGCAATCATGTACAGCTGGACTGAAGGCTTAGCCCATTCTCACTAGTTATAGAACAGCCGCAGGAGCACGCGTGGTTGGGCCGCTAAATGCTGGGTATGTGGTCCTGCTCAGACGCGACTCTCTTTCAGATGTTAATGTTTGATTTGGCCCTCCTTTTAGCCCAGTAGTAGGATGATAATAGTTGACCTTGAGGGCATGACGTGGGCCATTGGAGTCAACACAACACACATTTACCGAAAAAATGACGGATAATAGAAGTCCGTTTGAGGGGATAAGCAGAAATATGCTGCACATGAAAGGACGGATGCCCCTAGTTAGAGACTGTTGAGTTTAAACCATTTATGCCGCTTTCGGGGGGTGGTGACTACTGCTAGTGTTTAAAAATAGGCAGAACAAAAGGGACAGATCGGATCGTGTTTCGCGTACAAGTATATATTAGTAGATGCTGAGTGAATTATATGTAGGAGATAAATAGTGATGATTATGATTTTGTATAAAACGCTGGATATTGACTTCTCTGCGAATATTTCAGGGACGTATTTAGTAACTTGGCATATGTTTTTTGAACCTATCCTAAGCGCTAATCAGAAAACCTATGCTGAAAACGACATGCAAACAGATAGTCTGCACCTGACAGTCTCTGTCAGGTGAAAACCAATTGAAGATAGAGTTTTCTTTGTTGAAGGCTGACCATCCTAGAAAAAAATAACTCAGAAATGGGTAGCAGTGCCGACGCTACGGGAAGAGACCCGTCTTTAGTTGATAAACCTGTTGACATACGATTCTTCCAAAACAGGTAACGGCGAGAATTGCGAGGTACGAAAAAACAGTTCGACCTCAGTGTAAGTACAAGCGCGGATACTTCTCGCAATGATTTAGCAGCGACGCGTCTGTTTATCAAACCTTGAGACGTGCGGGTCTTGGCAGAGATAGATTTGCTTCAACTCGGAGATTAGGCATCTCATGCAATGCTAATGCAATTCTGGACGTAAAAGTCGAAACATGAATTCGTTTAGCCGCTTGATCTGAAGCCATCGGCAATCCTGCATATTTTATGTGACTTATCGAATTAGTCTCTCCACCTGACTTGTATATGGGCCAATCCGATTATGAAATATTTTTCAATTATGTAAAGCCGAGTATATTTACACGCAAGTTGTAGCAGTAGCATCGACGAAAAAACAAGTTTATTACTTTCCTCTTCCGCTTGTTGGGTTCACTGAAGGTTACCCATAATAATGCCGTAGTTTCAGGCGATTTGTTTCTCAGAGCCAAGTCTCCTACTCCTAATTACATGGCTGATGCGTACACGTCAAAAACCTTGTAGAGTAGGGTAAAACAAATGGATATTTATCAAGAGAACAGCAGATAATGACGGCTGAAAATGTATCAATTGAACTAGGCAGGGTCAAGGAAGGATCGCGATGACATTAGTTACATCAATACAGAAGCCATCACCCGTTAGCACAATCCAGTTGGAGATATTATCTGTAACCGAGAAGAATTTATCTACTACGATGATTACGTCTATGGAATATCAAATCCCGAGTGCTAACCATGTTGAATTGGGATTAGCAGTATCGTCAAATGCTGGGGTACGTAGTACTACCGTTGGTGGTATCATCGTACGTTAGCGGTATCATAGAAGTTAGTATAAGCTTGATTTTCCACATGTCACAGTCAATTCTAGAAAGCCATTTTAGATTGTAACTGCAACTGTAACACATATGAATTCCAGCAAAACATATAGTCTTTCAAATCAAAATATCGCTGTGCTGTAGATACAACACATAAACATGGACCTAAATTAAGCTTTTACTGATATGTCACTGTCAGATCTTTTATTACTTACTTTTATTACTTGTTTATTCTATTTTTCTCTACTTGTATATTATTTTATTTAGAATCCTCAAGTCGTCTCGAAATATATAAGTTTGGTGTGTATGGATGGCAAGGATGTTTTCCTTGCCTTCCTTGCTTCTCACCTTCCTCCTGTAATAGTATTTTCGTAGTTTTTTTTACCCCTTAATGCCGTGAAGGACCTTGATTTGGGAAAATTTCCGGCGTACTTTTTATGTATTCCTTCAACTGCGTTTGAATGATTATGTCTCCAACAAGTTATTATTGAGTTAACAAATTCTGTATCAGTACAACGATCATCCACATAATTTTAACTAGTAGGCACATGATACATATCAGGGTGCATGCTCTTAATATATTAAAATATGAAATAAATGTTTTGATGTTTCAAAATTACGCGCGTTGTAAGAAAAGGATCTTTAAGTCTTCGACTAGTATTGACCAAAACAGGCTTAGGAAAACCTTTTTATGGTCCCGTTAGTTATCTGTAAACTAATAGGGCTTTTGTCCTACATACTGGACAATGTTTTATTCCGTCGTCGGCTGTAATGCAATTATTTGTCTGTTTGATTCGATCTGTTTGTTCAATATAGTCTCCGGCAGTCCGAACGATGTGCCTATCATAAATTCGAGCCCATATTTTCATATCGGTTTCGCTGCAACATATACAATCTCATTGTTTCACAAGTACAAAATCTTATTATCGTATTAAAAGCTCACATAAGGAAGCAGAAAACTTTTGTCAGTGAGTAGTTACAGAATATGTTAAATTTCAATGAAATAATTCTGCTCTTTTATAGACGAGCTCTCCGAACAAGTGGTGTTTAACTTGGAGAACTTTTGCTCAGCCCAGCTATACTTTATTTAATTCATTCTATTGGGTTGTTATTTTGTCACGTACGTACTATAAAGAAAAGGAAATAGATCTTCAAGCTTAATCATATGAAATATTATTTAATAAAGTTTATATTGAATGAAATGTATTAAGTTTGTGATCATTTTGAGGCAGTCCTTTAAACTTAAAGTTCACTGCCACCTATTTAAAAGAATCTGCGCCTTTAGTTATCGGAGACAGGCGTCTGTATCCAAGTACATAAATTCCATGAGGGTACACGCCATCTATGTATTATTTGACTAACATGCACAGCAAAGAACGATGAAGAACCAGGGAAAGACATGCTATTTTGCTTGCTGATTATTAAATCTCCTTATTATTCATGAACCAGTCTCACTCACTGCAGGTTACTTTGGCAGATCACTAGACCTGTTCATATACGAGTAAACTCTTTAAAGAACAGATACGACTTTTTGTTTCGCTATTTTTTAAGTTACAAAAGAAATATAGCATTTTCTGAGATGATCAAAACTTGGCATGCGATAAAAATTAAAATGTAGGGTAAAATTTATAAAGAAACTCAATATAGCCATCTGAAGGTACTAGTAGTTTGGATTACGCTGCAGTACTAGTTGCGGCACGGAGCTGGTTTCCAGTACTACCACGATGCTTACAGTTTTTTTTTTCGTGATTTTTAATTATAGCACATACAAATGAAGGTAAAGAAAGGCTTCTATGTTTGCAAAAAAACAAAATACTCAGCATAATCCCTATTCGTAGAGTAACATCTACTTTTCAACTTAAAAGTAACCTGTCTTGCCTCATTTTACGCCCTATATTTAATGATTTTCTCTCACGAAGTTAATTTGAGAGCTCTCGATGCTAAGCACATAAACCTATGGCTTTCAAGAGTTTTATCAAGATTCTCAAATGCATGTTACCATAAGCCAAGCCGAATAACCTTTCTCCTTAGCGGTTATCACTGGTGTTTCCTGTTTCTTCCTCTTTTCAGATGTATTTCTACGGCGCGAATTTCTCGCGCGACGTCGCAGCTTCAATCAGGCCGTTATCAGTCGTTCAAGCCTACTACGCTTGGAATGGGCACCATCGCAGCTCGTGACGCTAAGTCTCCCAAAAAACTCAATCTTCGAAATCCAGTCGGACGCCCTGGTCGCCTGTGCCGATACTCTGTCAAGTCTTGACCTTAGCGACAATTTCCTCGGTGATATCCCGGATCTTTCGGCGATGCGAGGCCTTCGTTGGTTGAACCTTCAGCACAATCAACTGGCTGAGCTGCCGGCCGGAATTGCGCTTACCAATCTTAGTACGCTTTTGCTGGCGGGCAATCAGATTCGGTCAGTGAGTCCTGATTTGTTGCCTGAATCACTGGCCACTCTCGACCTCGAATCGAATCAGATTCTTTCCCTCGAGGGTCACCCATTTCCAAGCGCGATTAAACAGATCAATCTTGGCACTAACCTTTTCCGTTATCTTCCGCATAGCTTTCATCGAATGCATGCGTTGGAGCGGCTCTCATTAAACAACAACGCTTTCCATGACATCCCAGCCCGATGGAAGCTGCCTCCATCCCTGCAGGTGCTCGATATTTCGCGCAGTTCGTTGCGTCAGCTACGGGGCGTCTGTCTTGTTCTCGAGAATGGCAGCTGCCATCACCTGCAGATACTGCACCTTGAATTTAACTTGATCTCATCGTTGGCTGAGAACTTGTTTGAGGGGATGCGCCTAAGGAAGCTCTTTCTCAATTCGAACCGTCTTATTCAACTCCCACTAGGACTCTTCAAAGGTAGGTGGCGTGTATCGTTATTCCTGCAGTCGTCATTCCACGTTAGTTCTATGGCAAAACAGTGGACTCTAGTTATTAGAAACTTACTTCGCGGATAACTAGGAGGTGGGTAAAGTGGCCGCTGCCTTCGTTCGAGCATACAAAGGTACCTAGCCGAAGTAGACGAATACGCTTCCTTTGAACGGCTCGTTCTTTCAGCCGTGTTTCCAAAGTAGGTTTTCGTTTGGTGGTGATGAACGCGACGAAAGTCAGTAAATGAGAGAAGGCAGTCGGTAAGATCGAACCGGCAAGCATCTCTCCGCAGTCGCTTTGATGACCTGCCAGAGGTAGACTGGTGCTAAGATTCTTTCGCAAAACCCACGGCGTTCATAAACCAACTTAGATATTCAGGCCAGTTAGTTGACCCTACAGGGACCACAGGTCTTGGAAGTGGTTTGCAGTAAAAGTTTAAGCGTGTTGTCCTCAACATCAACTCACCATTTCATTCCTCCTTTCCAGTGGGGTGGAACCATCTACCCTCCGTTCAGCTCGTTCAAGACGCTCGGTGCAGCTTCTTTTACCTTCGCCGCCCCCTCTCTCACACTTTCTTACTGCATATCTTGGTCTTTTTCCTCGTTCAAATCTCCATTTTCCGGAACAGCTTCGCCGGTTCGCTAATTTTATTCATTCGTATGTGCCTATGGCTAGCTCAAGCAGGCCTTATGGCAACTGACCGCACGGCCTTTGTCTGTTAGACTGTCTATGTCACTTTCTCTCGTTTTATACGATCAGTGCAGGAGATCCCTAAAATAGACGATCATCATTTCGAGTGTAAAGAAGGATAGTCAGCTTGGTGGACGCTGGATAACAGTAATGCTCAAACTCAACGTAAAGCCTACGTCTTTCTGCCAGGGTTGCCCACCTATACGAGTATTTCTTTATATTGCTCACTTATACGACTGTTGTTATTATTATTGTTTTATAGGTTGCTATTTCCATGAGCTATGTTGGTCTATGTATGAGGCAGCAATACAACTAATTCTTGCGACTGCTGTTGAAAAATAACATTGCAGAGATGTCGTAAGAGAGAACAAAGTTGAAGATTACATCATTTTGGAGGATCATTTAGAGGTGAACAAACGGACGCGTAGGTGCCCGATACCCCTGGGTATCCCCAGCACACCAATTTTTTAAGATTATTATGTTGAGCGAAGTGGTCCACTAGAATAAAAAAAAGGGAAATAATGGTTATTTCGCCGAAATACAATATTGCAATTGCTGCGCGCGCTATGGCGGTTTCGCTCATAATACATACAAAGTTCATAAGAAATAGATTGCAAGTCTATTTATATACGAGGCAACACAGTGTACAAGCGGTGTCCATAGGTAAATGGCAGGACGGTTTTGTTGGGCCGTCGTTTAGGACTGACATTACCCCTACTTTTACACAAGGTAGGATAAGCAGAGCTTCGTTTTGACGTCTAGCCTTTGCCCGTCAATTCGTTTGGTCTATTAGTAACAATAATAATAATAATCATAGGCGCCGTTAATTGCAATGACCAAATAATAACGCTGCAAATCTTGTACTTTTCCCGCGCAGTTTTCACTTACTCTCTATAGGGCTCGCTCGTCTGAATCCTGAGCAGCGTTTGTGTGATTATTCATAATAAAGAGGGGTACAACCAGCGTAAGCACCTCTGCCATACCTATCCACCTGTCAGACCCACAAGCGCGAAGAGTACTTAACGTACTGAATATCCTTAAAATTCTTTCGACCGTGAGAATGAGATGAGAATTGAACCGCTTTCTGCCGCGTTTGTAGGTATAGGCGTTCGTAGCCGTGAGAGATGCTGCGTGGTGAAAAAATGCCTCTAGTGGCAAGCAAAGAACTAAAGCATATCCAAGCCGTTCTTTTTTTTGGACGTTGTTTTTCATTTTGAATCTAGATGTTTCTCGCGGGTCTACATTGTTTACTAATTTATACCTCCCCAAACGTAACAACCTGGAATCGTTACATCTCGTTTTTTGGTCTGTTCGATGAACTTTAAAACACAAACACTGCCATCAAGCAACGTAGCATTGTTGAATGTTATTCTTTATCAACACATAGGGATCTCATCACTGCTCCGTTTACAGGTTACTCTGCTGGTTGCCCTTTTTGTCTTACCTTATTGCTCATCTTGCTGTTTTTCTCTCCATGTAGATACAGATGTACGATTCGTTTTCGTTGGTCGTTCGTTTCTATATTTCTATTGTTTGCTGTACAGCAACGTAGTGTACGGGCGTGTCTTCGGGGCGTACGCTTATTCGGTGTTGTTGTTTTAGGCGTAATATCATCGACGCTGACAGTTCTCGACGTGAGCGACAACCAATTCGAGTCACTACCCTCTTGTATTTCGTCGCTTTCGGCGCTCAGCGTTTTGATTGCCCGCGGGAACCAGCTAGTGTCGTTCGATTTGCCAGCTGGGCCTACAATGCCGAAATTCTTTCGAACTCTACAGGTAAGTTATAAGGCTATAAATGTAAATATGTTGGTTTCAAAAAAACATTTGATTAATGTATATATGCGCAAATGAAAGCTTGGACAAACGCAAGCTTTCTAATCTAATTAATGGAAGTATTGCATACGAGCTACAAGTAAGATACAAATAGTCTTTTCCTAATGTACCAGATGTTAGTTAGCGCCTAGCTATAATGAAGTTGCAAGGAATGCACAATGCTTCGTCATTCATGTTAGAGGTTTTGTGTATTACATATGTTATCAGACATTCACAAATATTATTTTTACAAACGTTCATATTTTTAGAATAAATAAATAGTCTGATATAATACAATCACATTATTTTAGAAGTTTGTCTTAGACAGGGTGTTGCGTGGTCACCAATATATAAGCAGCTGAAGTGCTTTCTACATAAAGGCCCAACGTTTAATGAAATCGAGATGATCAATATCTCAGATCTATATACATATACACGAGCCAAGCACGAGTTCGAGTACGAACTGTCGAGCCTTAGTGCATTCTTTGAGGAAAATAATTGCTTCGACACACTCCATATTTAAAGTCGCTCCTGCCCCTGCAAAGCTATTTGGTACACTACAGTATGTTCATCTACTGCACTTCATTAGAAACTAAAAGCTATATATATACATATAGACAGAATAAATAATTAAAAAAAGATCTCGCTTATCTTGCGGCTTTTATAGCAGGCTCAGCAGTATACTGAAGGTTATCGTGCTATGCCTGAGTTTGGGCGTGATGGTGTCTATAGCAAGGAGTTTCATTTGGGCTCTCAACTGAATCAGGCGATTCGGCAGAAGACGTCCATCTAGAGGTTTCAAGAACCCATCCTAGCTAACCCCACGAGACGCTTCGGGAAAGACAAATAGATACAGCAACGGATTGCAATGGCTAGGCTCCACCATTCGGTGAAGAGATAGGCTGGCCGGTGGCAGCCGCGGTGCCATGCTTGCTCTCCAAGGATAATTGCTAAAACTACGCATACACTATAACCCATACAGAAACGTCCTCTCTGTTTAGCGCAGATATATAAAGTGAGAAAATTATTTAGAGGGGAAAAAGCATGCCGCTGCTGCTACTACTGCCGACGGTGTTGTTTAAATTAGGCCCTTTTAACGTACTATTCGCTCAAGGTTCAAACTAATGTGCTTTCTGGTTTTGCTCTCGTTTCAGGTACTGGACTTATCCTACAACCAATTTACGGAAGTGTCGTCAGCGCTGATGAACACCACAGGTCTCGTAAAGCTTAGTCTTCAAGGCAACCTAATTGAGAAGCTGGGCCCGTTTGGTCAAGGCCAGTGGGCTGCGGGACTTCGCAGTGTTAGCTTGTCGCACAATGCAATTAAGATATTGGCGCGTGCGGCAATGGCTAAACTGTTTGAGCTTAAGGAGTTAAAGTTATCATTCAACCCAATTCATTATTTCGATAATGCCGCGTTTACGCCACTCAAAAATCTACAGACTCTCGAAATGTCCTCGAGTCTCGTGAGCGACGCCGCTGTTAAAAACGTTCACAACCTTTTTAAGCCATTAGAACAGCTGCGATCATTACAAATCGACTACAATAGGCTGCATCAAGATCCGTTTGGGTTAGGTCCATCGTTAGTGAACATAGATCTTGAAGGAAATGATCTCAACACGGTGCCCGCTATTCCTCCTTCATCTCGGATCACTCGGCTATCGCTTAGTTATAACGGGATTTACTATTTAAAGACAGGCGCTTTACGAAACATCTCGACACTTGAACAAATCATCCTGTTAGGAAATCCCCTTCGAGAGGTCGAATTCTGCGCCATGAGCGATCTTCCCTTGCTCGTTAGTGTCACTCTTTCGTCAAACCGCCTTCGCAGTGTGCGCCGTGGCGCTTTTCAAGCGCTTCCAGCACTGCAGAGGCTTCAGCTTGATAATAACCTTCTCGGACAACTCGATCTTGGTATGCTCGATCGCGCCGGGCGTCGTCTGCTTCTAAACGCGTCTAACAATGCTATTGTCGATATTACAGCCGCCAGCGACGCGGTAGACGTCCGCGTACTTGACATCTCCAATAACAAGCTCGAAGTGTTGCCTGAAACGTTGTGGGATTCGGCTAATGAGCTGGTACAGCTGTCTGTAGCAAAGAACAGCATTCGACAGATAGCCATTGGCCGAACAGCACTCGAGCGCTTGCTAACGGCCGACCTATCCCATAACAGACTGACTGCTCAGGCAGTGTATAACCTAAGTCAGATTGCGCCGTCGCTGCAAGTCCTCAGTCTACGAGGCAATCGTCTCGAAACGTTGGCGTCTCCTGAACGCACGGCGCTCGATTACGTTAGCAAATGGCCTTTGCGAGTACTTGACATATCGTCGAACGATATTCGCCACCTTGGGCAGCGGATTTTCGAGCCTTGTTTACCGTTAACACTGCAGGTACTCAACATTTCATACAATCCATTGGAAAGTTTAAATCTCTTAAAACTAGCAAACTTGGTGAATCTCGACATATCGTACACCCATCTCAACTTGGCAAGTAACGGCCGTCATTCTAGGTTATCATTAACATCCACTGCGTGGAATTCCACTAGTCAACCAGCTGGTTTATACCAGCCAGGGTCTACATCTTTGTCGAATATCCTAACTCACATTGAGAGTCTACAAGTTCTAAATATTTCGGGTACTAGGACAAAGGAGTTATCGAGCACTCTGCTTCCTGCAGGATTGCTGGTTCTAGAAGCATCTAATTGTGCTCTACAGTCACTCCACCTGTCGGCGGAATCGCTCGTTGAATTAAAAATAAGCAACAACACTTCTGTCGCTCTGGCACGCTCCTCGGTATTGACTCCGCGACTCCGTCTGCTTGATGTCGCGCACAGCGGCATCCGCAATTTAACTAACCTGCTGAAAGTCTTTTCGACCGAGCGTCTACGTCGGCTACGGGCCGAACATAATCTAATTGATAAGATCTCATCGTCGTTGTGGCGTCAAACGCCCCTGCTCACGACTCTCGAAATAAATTCAAATCCAGTTGAGGCACTGAGCCTTCATAGCTTCTGCGGTTTGTCTCATCTCGCCGAGCTTGATATTCGAAATCTCAGCCTGACACAGCTCGACTCAAGGACACTTCACCATCTTCCGTGAGTATTGATTTAACGAAAAATAATAGGTATGATCCTAGATGATACAAACAGGAACACCTCGGCATGAGGGTTATGCACTAAGTTGATCTCTGTGTATAGTAAGTGCCAGATTAGACTACGCAGATATATCGAATATTAATTGTGAGATGTAAGCCAAGCAAACCTATCTTACATACCGATGAAGTCACGTTCGCTTTCTTTCGTGATTGATATTTTTAAACAATTTTTCCGCTGCTTCATTGCTATGCTCGCAACTGCTGGACCTAGTCGTTTTAGTAAAGTTACATCCTGTTACAAATCGAGACAAATGATATTTGGTAGAAAAATGTCGTTACAAACATTAAGATTAATAGAATGCAAGTTCATTTTAAGGAAATGCCAACCGTCTTGTTCTGAATATGGTAAAAATTATCGTTTTGTTAGAAGGGTACGATCATTCTTAAGTGTACTCTTTACGTATCTTGCCTTCGTATATTTGTTTGCCTGTTACTGTTCTCTATGGAACTATGCCACTAAAAACATAAATGTGCACGTTACGTATTGAAGAAATAACGATGAGGAAGGCGAGCTCGACAAAGCGCAGAACACTTGCTGAAGGGGTTTTTTAAAAGCTATCTCCTTTTATAGATTATAACCTCTTTTTCCGTGTTTTTTATTTCTTGCTGCTCTGTAATAATTAGAGTCACTTTTGACGCGCCAGGTAGAGAAGAATGGGCTTATTATATATAGAGAAAGATTAAGAGATTAAAAAGAAAGGGCGTTTTAATTTGAGAAAAAAAGACGGTCTTGAACAACGCTTTGTTCGTGACTTTTAATCGTTAAGAATCGTTTTCATAATTCAGGATTCAAACAAACGTGATTCAAACATACAAGCCTTAAGGCCACATAGGTTTGAAGCGACTGAGATCAACCAAAAATCCGAAGACAGTTTTATGTAATATAATTAGCTCATAACTATAACAAGATAGTGTCGGCACCGAATTACTGCATACGATATCCAATAAACTTTACTAACTCTGAGTAGAGAACTTATAAGTTTTCGGTGCAACGAATGTCGAATTGTTGGAAGCTGCAATTACATCTCTGTTTATAGGTCGAAAAATTTCGTAAGCGTAGTTTTTGCGTCTAGTTAATTGAGCTAGCAACGTTTTATGATCGTTCCTAGGAAGATGTCCAGGAAAGTGTTATTCAGTTACTTCTGTTTTGGTTAATGGGTTTGGACGCAACGTGAATGGGGATTGGGATACGACATTATAAATGCTATAAATGTGAATTTATACCGTAATACTGGTAGGTTACTTCTTTTTTACTGGCAAATGATTCGTTCGTAACAGATACGACCTTCCTTCTAAGTTCAAATAGTTGCGACACATGCGCTCATGTCGAGGTTCGGCGTAGAGAAACTACGCGTTAGTCGAATCAAAGGTTCCATGGGAAAAGGTTTTTTACTACAGTTATTGATAACACAACTGCAGGTATACGTTAAGCTAATTTTTATAAAAGTCAAGTGTGTCACTGCTGGGTACCCTTGTGGGTGTTGGGTGTTCGATACAGAATTAGTTGAAGGATATCTTTGATTATATTATCGTTGTTTGATTTTGATGTTTCGACATTTGCTATGATTTAAACGTGAGCCTTTGCACACAAGCATTCAATAGTAAAACACGAAAAACATTTATGCTTCTGTTACAGATCGCTATCGACGCTATATATTTCAACGTACAACCGCGGCATTCGTTCATTGCGACTTCAAGAACTATTGTCAGATTCAGGACATCTGCGGCGGGCAGTGATAGAAGTGGGCGAGCCCGTTCTTTCCTATCAACTGCAGTGGGCATTTACGGGGAAGTCTAAACTTCGAGAACTCCACGTTACTGGTAGGTTTCTAAATTATTATCGACATATAAAAATTGTTCCTATTACAAAACAAATATTTGTTTTTCGATTGAGCTATTTTAACTTATTAGGCAAATACAATGTGCCACATTATCCAGGCGTTTTGCTATCTGCCCTCAAATGTAAAATGCGTGTGCATTAAAGATTTATGTCTGAGAATCAGACTTTGCTTAGTGCCACGTAATATAGTAGTTCCAGCTAAGAACTTCTATTATAGTTGTTCAATAATGAATCGTCTTTAGCGTCCGGAATTCGATAGGCTTGTTGATTTACTGAAATTGCCGTAATCTCGTTGCGAGTTGCGATGACAATATACGGGGCTCTTTTACCCTAACCTGATTCTAATCCTGATAACAGAAAAAGGATCCATGCCTTAGTGAAATACGCTGGCCTAGCCGCAGGTGTTCTCAAGGGACCGTATTCATTGAAAAATTGGGAAATTGCTGCACTAATAACAACTATGGCAAGATTTTGTTAATTCCAAACGTGCGAATGGAGACACTATTAGTAAAGTAGATTTAAAAATACCGAATAATACGAAGCAAGAAATCAATAGTAAATTATATTCTATTCTATTTATTCTGTTTTCTTTATACTAACAGTATTCAGTATGTAGGGCGCAGGCTGCTTGGTTGTACCACGTTAGCTTTAGTAGATTAGTTTAATGGCGTATTGTAGCTTATTTGAATAGTAAACGAAATTTGAGAGCAAGTCTTGCTTCGTAACCGAGAACCAATTTCGTACGACTGGAAAAATTGCTGTTTATTGACCATCCAGTTCTGATATCGTTGGTGAGCGAAACTGTTACCTTAGTAGCCATAGCTTGTTTATTGTTCAATGACTTTGTCTAGCTGTTACGAGGCACTTCTTATCTTTCTATTTTCTTGAATTTCTATAAGCTCTGATCTTACTAATTCATCATATATCCGTATATCCTACAGAAGCCTGAACAAGAAGACCGCCGGCAGACGAGTGATTCTCCGAAAGTGTCTTTCTAAAAGCAAAAAATAACGTTTGCTTCAAGTCAGAGCCCACATTACGTAGCGCTGTTTCCTTGGCCTTTTTTCATGCAAAAAGTGTATCTGCCATCCCAGGTCACGCGAGCGAAAAACAAACCAATCTTGGCCTTTTTGCGGCTTATCGTCAATTCCTTAACCATTATTTACCCATTGAAATTAAAAACATGCCAATACATATTGTGCCAAAAAATTATAGTTAGCCTCATAGGGCATCCAAACAATTCGCCATTGTTATTCGAGTATTTTTCTCGTCTAGTTTCCTACATCATCTATGCTAACTATATGCTTTACACTTGAATGCGTTGCTTTATATGTAAATGAAACAATATTGCGTCGGGCAGTTCGTTTGATCCTAGAGAAGCTATACATGTACGTCCAAGTAATCCCTTTTTTTGTTATACTATATAGTGTGACTGGTCATAAATCTGAGTGTTTTTAGGACCTCTATGGACTGCTGCTGATAATTAACGTTGTTAACATGTTACATCATAGCGAATGCATATTATACTGTAAGTGTATTTTTCTGTGAGTTAAGTTGAAACGGGCCTGGATTTTGGCGTGGTATGGCACCTCCATCGCTATATACCAAAGTCGCACCAACAAAAAAATAGAAATCAATTTTTCAAGTAATTTAGAATTAGAAATTAAGAAGCGCTCCGAAAACGCTAAGGAAACATTTGCAGTAATTGTTTAAAGAGGACCAGCCATACTAAAGTTAAATTCACGCAACACGTTCGTAATTGATTGTCAAAATCTAGGTCAAAAAGAAAAAAAGAGAAAAAGAAGCGTTTTCGAAACAAAAGTCTTGAAATTTTATTTATGAGATTTCAGTCCATCTAATGAAATTGAAATGAAGCTGTTAGGCTCTCAATAAATAACATACTCGATAATAATTAAAAAAAATAATTTTATTTGTCAGCTTCTCCGTATATGTAACTGTGGTGAACACATTAATAATTTACCTAAGAAAAGAAATGAGAATTTCCTTACAAACGAGAAAAAGCAGATAGCACATATTTAAATGGCAGGGTGGTCTACGTTAACTTGAGCCGATTTCTATGGGTCAGGTAGATCGATTCGAATTTCCTCGTCACAATCTGTCGTGCATTCTACTCTGGTAGTAGTAAATCGCTCATGAAGTAAAAAAGGTCTATTGCCGGCTGCTACTTGTTAGGACGGATGTGTGCCCCATGCTCCCCGATTCAGACGGTTGTATCCCAGCTGCGCACGCTCAGGTAAGAAGTGGATACGAATACGAATTTGTGGATGCTCCGTCAAGATAAAGCGAATCTGGAGTACTACGGACTCCGGTTAGCAGGTGTTTGTAGGCGAGACATAGTGCTAAGGTTTCAGAGGTTTTGAAATCGGATCGCCGAGACTTGAACGAGTTATTCTCATTCGCACTGTCTTCCTATCTAGAAAACGCTGGCTAGCGTTTCACGCACCAGCATTTCTGCAGGTTTCCGGATTTAAATCGAATTTGTCTTGCGTGTTTCCTACCCGAGTCTTCTCGTTGTTCCGTAACGCACGCGCCTCTTCGTTTCTCAGAATGTGCGTCTTAATGACACGGAGGAGCATAGACGGACGTGTAGCTCGCTGTATCTGCATCAGTTGCGGCGTTTGTTTTTCTCTTGATATGTCCAGCACCCCTCTTGTCCTTTTCCATGATCCGTCTCGCAGGGTGCAAAACTGATTGACCAAGTTGTATATGGCGACAGCGGAAAAATAGTAGCAGTGGTGGTAACACTCGTTCCACCCTGTGGGTACTTTTATTTTTCCTTCGTTCAGGATGGTCAGTTCAGTACGTTTAAGCAGTAGACTAACTGACTCCATTCGGCACGAGACAAGCACAGAACACCCGCCGTTACCGCATCCATCTAGAACCTATAACAACGTTGTTACAGTAAGGAATAAAACAGAAAGAGTTGAATCCGAAGTTCAATATTAACGCCACCACTGCCATCAAGACCACTATCCAAAAGCGCGGTCACGATCCGGACCGTTATAGAGCAAAAGGTGACGGCGAAAAAACGGGAAAAATTATTGGGTGGAACAACTGACCTCACCCCTGTTAGCTGTTTTTTGGAATACAGCAGCATATATGAGACTGGCCGTACAGGAAATTCGTTGCCGCAGTAAGCGTACAGTATTATACTACAGCCGAGAAGCACATTTTGATACTCACAAAAAGGGACGGCCTAGAGCTCCGCTTTAGGCGATCATAGATGCACTCTGAGAGTAGCTGATGAGCTGTTCTGTTTTATAGGAATTTGGTCGAGCCAATTTTTTTGTAGGGCGCCCCACTTCTGGGTAACAGTGTCCATTTCTGTCCCGGTTTGCTCTAATTTCTTATCGTCTATTTGGACCATTGGCCACGCGGAACTGTATATCTGAATCAGCCGCCGTCCAAAGTGGCCACGTGACCTTGGCATGATATATACTCATTTGTTTCATAGTCTTCAACGCACATTATAATTAGATCGTGCTTGTTTTCGTGTGATCGAACGAAAAAAATGAAGAACGTGTCTAGGTGTGTGCCAAAAAATACGTATAATCTCATCGCAGCATTAATTCGACGATGATGTTATGAGCGAGAAAAAAATAGTTCACACGAAAACGCGGAATTAAATGATTTACGTACTTGATAATATATAAAAGCACTGCAGAGGATGATAAGTATAAGTGTTTACCAACTCCGTACCAATAGCTTCCTAAGGAATAAAATTGCTTACAAAATTAATTTTGAGATTTTTTTGAGTTGAAAGCAATTGTCACATGCGATCCTATCCACTTTGCGCAAAAGATGTTCATGCTCGCTTAACTCCAAATCCTCGTACTGTGAATTTTTTTTAATGTTATTTGTCATTTAATGTTATTTTAATTATAACGTCGTCTTTTAAGTTAGGCAGAATCTGATTAGATTGTAATACCTAGCTTAGCTCTCATCCACATTCCTGTTAAATTAAGCGAATTGTTATATGGAAAATATATGCTTTTTAGCATATACGTATACTTTGGCAATTATATTGCATTGCTGTCATTTGCGTTAAAATTAACATTGAGCTCTCTCGGAAATCCTTTTCTTACTTATTCTCGAGCAAGTTACTTGTGTGCCATTTTATTGTGCGGCTAAGCTTGAAGTTCTATAGAACCATAAGTACATAATCGGAAAGATTAAGAAAGTAGACTGATTTAAAGGTTCACTGAACAACATGGCCTTATAAATCGTGGTAAAGATTGGAACGAAGTAATTCAGGAAAAAGAGCTACACAATGAATCAGTATCAATTAGATACTCTTCACATCAATTTCTGTGGGCCTCAGGAATCATTTACATTAATTAATTTAGTAAAAGTGTTTCTGTCTAGAAGAAACGTACACAGTCTTAATTAGGACAGGAGATGTGAGCAGAAGGCGTAGCATCCTTTTTCACGCCCCTTTTTAAATCTAGGAAAAATAGAACGTACCCGTTAGGTAAGCAATTATGCCTAACTACCGCTATATATATTTGATGCTATTATTATAACAATATAATTCTGATTAGAATAAGCAATATAGTCGTTACCATATGAAATCGGCAGGTATTTTTTGTTGTCCGTCTAGATAAAATGAATCCATTAAGTAAAAATTATGATATACAAAAAAAATTCATATACAATCTAAGGACAACATGAAAGTAACCAAGATATTCTTAGTTACCCAGATGCATCAGTGAGAGAAATCTGTCAAGTACTAAGCTAAATTCTAGTAAACGACAGTCTCGTTCGGATCGAGGAATCACATTGAAACAAATCTTTATCGGCACTGTGGTCAAGACGTACTTATTCAGAAAATTGGCTACAAGAAAAAAGATGATTTATTATAGGTTTTAAATGGTCCAAACGATTTCAAATGCTCATATATTACTCCTTACAGTTATAAGCCACAACATTTTCAGAGGATGAGATTAGATAAACGAGATTTGCTCAATCTACGAGCCTGCTTCAGAGAACGGGCCAACCCAGAAGAACGTGCATATTGTAGTTATATCTGGTTAAAAGAGACAGGGTGAAACTACAATTGGAAATAACAAAAGAGAATATGTACTTCTTCACTGCGGTGACCCCTCAGTAGATCCACTTTCAATTTTTCCGCGAATCGAAATAAGCAGGTTCTTTTAACAGAAAAGAACCTTGTTCGAAGTCACTACCTAAGTTAACCTTTCTACTAAACTACCTTAGTGGTTCTCATGCGCACATACAATTATTGCTGTTCATAATGTGATCAACTGATTTATATATATCAGCCCTTGGTATGAAACGGCTGCTATAATCAAGACGCCCTTAGGTATAATAGAGGTGCTATATTTTTTAACATATATCAATAAAGTAAAAGCTAATTCAATAAAGTTAGAAACTAATATTAGTGTGGTACGTGGGATCCTCTCTATGGACTTTATAATCAACCATGAATATCCTATTAAACTGCGGCTTCTAGGACATTCAATTTTTATTTATCAAAAAACGGAGCCTGAGCGGAACACTTTTAAACTGAAACCTAAGTATAGCCCGGTCTGTGGTATATCTTTGGCGCCTTTAAAAGGACACAAACACAGATATTTTAGGCAGGGTGAGGCAAAAGTCTTTTGAAAATTTGAAAAAGTAGTCTTACAAATATATATGTATATAGCATGAACTACAAAAAAAATTTAATTTCAAGATCAGTGTGCCCGATAGGACTGGCAACGATGGTAGTGCAGCATATGACGCTGCATGTTACCTGAGGTTTATTGCACCACATTCTGTGCAGATACGTATAGCCCCAGACGAACATAAATCCACCCTCTCGCATATGATCTACATATATATCTTCTTCAAGCTATCAGGAGATTTTTGCCCCACTCTGTATATAAAATGAATTATAATGACTTTGATGGATGTTTTCTCTCATTCGATATCGGTTTCAACCGGTAGCCAGCTTCAAAAATCGTTTTTATTATTGCTGTTTGCTCACACAGTTGTAGGACGCTGGTAGAGCATTCATACTGATTGCGCACACTATACCAAAGCAAATTTTATGAAAAAAAAGATAAAATTGCCATGCACTCTTTACGATAATATTTTTGAGCTTAGTCCCACATTACATTCATATAACATATTAGATTCTGGTAGCCGATTCGGCATTGTATACCTTTTGATCTGGATTCACAGGACTTTTTTGAATATTTGCAGGCTTACCCCTTCGTTTCATTCTTCCTGACGCGTTTCAAGGCCTCGAGAGCGCCCACGAACTCTTGCTGCGTATAACGCACACGTCGATAACCGATCTTCCCGCCGGACTTCTAAGGTAACTGCCCGACCAGCTTCTAAATACCGGAGGTAATGCTGTTTTTCCACAGCGAAGCTGCTGTGTAGCAGTTCAGTTGTCATAACATGAGAAAAAGCTATGAATTCGCTTTCTTAAGCAGCCTTTAGCAGATACATCTGATGAATCAACTAAATAAAGCCTATTTTAATCCGATGCAGCGCCAGTGTAAGGTAAGCTTTAGAACCAACTAACGAGAACTTATAAAGTTTTCGTTAATAATAATAATAATAACAGATAATTACATTTGTCATATTGTGGATAAGTTTAAGGGATGATACAACACTGGTACAAAATGCCGCATTTCGGTCTACTAGTAGACCAGATCTAGACTAAATATCACGCTGAAAGACGTTAATATTTCTGCTCTTTTCAAGTGTAAACTGTGTCAACCCTAGTCGCTAGTTTCTTTCATCCTTTGATCTCATATTTTTTGTAAACTGTAGGGTTGCATTAATTCGTTGCCTCTCTCATAGTCCTACTCACATTATCTGCTCCTCAAAGCAACAGGATCTCTCAACAGCATCGAACGCTAAAGGAAATGGCAAGGCGAAACATTTGAAATATTGTTTTTGCCCATGTTGTCTTAAGAGCAGACGCAAATCTGACTATCGGGTGAAAAGAAGTACCCCATAAGTAGACACTTCAAAAGTTCGGTCACAAGTGATTTTATCATAAAATTGATTATTGGCTATTCCGTTATCGTCTACTGAAAACGCCTAGGAGACTGGACCCACCCTATTTACTTTTCCACAAGCTAAGGCCTGTGTTCTAGTGAAAGCATTCCTCTCAATCTGGATCGAAGTGCTCCTAAGGGGGGAATGGTAGAAATCCAGGGATTCGAAGTCTCATATACATATATAAAGATATCAGGTATTATACATTATTTTGACCCATACTTTACTCATCTCTTGAATCGAAGATAACTTTTAAAGGGACATTTCTTACGCTATATATATAAATCCCTTTTAGCTCAATCTTTTTTTTTACGGTATAACCTTTCTTTTCAGTTATTTTGTAATATTGGTTTTGATTTTAAAAAGCGAAACTGGGGGGGGGGGGGGGATAAAATGGTTTGTGTGGAATGATTGCAAGTAACTATCAGTGCCGCCTAAAGCAGACGTTAGATATTGTGATAAGTCCGATGCTTGCCGAACATCTATTAAACTGACAACAATAATTCAGCAAAAGCTAAAAGCATTGAGCCGCATTTCAGGAGAATGGCAGAACAATTTCCATTTGTTACATTCCGTTAAATCTGAAAGTGTGAATGTGATCCTCTTGCGACAATGAATCGATTTTATACAATGAGCAAATAAAAGGCGGGTTACGTTAGCTTAACAACAATTACACACCCAGTTTTGGGCCTGTACTGGTAGTTAAGAATACCAATTGGAAATGGTAATCGTACCAACCGTTTACGTAAATTATGCAAGCTTTATGCAGACCATCCACAAACTAGACAATTTTGATTCAGTCTACGGCGGTATGCAGGGTATTTGAGTTACGTTTGTTTAGACGAAATAAGGCGGAGCACTATCAAATACGTACAAAAGCTAACCAACGAAAAACTCACTTACGTGAGACGGTTTTTTCAGAAGCAAGAAGTGACTATACCGAGTTCTATATGAACTATGACTCTTTTTAACAAAGTATTGCCTCTGGAAATTAATGCTATTTAGCCCCCTATAGGTTTAAGAAACTTGTTGGTCAAAAATATCGTTCAATCCATATTTGAGCATTTCCCAAGCGAGCAACTTTCAAAAAACGCTTAGTCTGTCTATTATTTACATTTTTACCGAATATCAGTTCAGCTAAAAAGAAACAAATAAGCTAGATCATAATATGTAATAGTCTAACGAACTGCAGAGTCGTATTACGGGGCGGATTTGTAACGGTCGCATTATTCTAACGCATAAGGAGACCAAGCAATATCTCTGGCACGGACGTTGGGTTCCAGAGAATTACGACAGATTGCAATTATTCATTAAACCAGAATTATGAATAATCGTGAGCCACACAAGCCTCGATGTCGATCAGGGCGGTTTTGTTACAGTTAATTATAGTCCTTCGTCATTTCTTGGATGCGCTGACCTTTCCTTTGACCTGAATGCGCTGGCATTTCAGCGAAACCCATCGTTTGGGTCTCTGCTTAAGCGAGATTTACTAGTAGACTACCCCTAAAAGGCAGTATTGGCCAGAGATATCGATATTAGTATTATATTACGTTTGTACCATTTAGGATCGACGACCGTTTAGGGAATACTTGGTATTTTTTCCGTGGCAACAGTTGCATTTATCAGACGCGTCTGGTATATTGTTGTAATAGCTTTTTACACATGAAAAAACGATCCGCAAAAGAACTCTGTTAGCGGTTGTTGACTTTTTCTTGTATCTATAGCGTTTCGATTATCCGAAGTTCTATTATTTTGCTGTGAAAGCTTCCACATTGAATAGTTCGATTTTTTCTTTTATTTCCAGGTACCTGGGAAACGTCCGTTTTCTGGCCCTTGATCTTCGCTCAAACCAGTTACAAACCATCTGACCTTCCGCTCTCGAATCCCGTCGTCGACTGTCAGCCAGAGGTTCCCAACTATTGGCAGGTTAGCATTATATTTACTGTGCGTATAGTCAACGCGGCCTACCATTACTGTGAAAGTTCTCTTCAGTTACTTGCTATGGTTGGCGCTGATACGTACATTATGGCCTACTTGTAAGGTGGACTTGTGCGAAGAGTATATTCTTAACTATTCCTAACTATTCTATTCTCTTTGACTATGGCGGCCATCATTATATCAGTTATTGATTATTCGAATTGTTGTTGTTGACATAGTTCCTGTCATCGTTCAGCTTTTATTAGACCGGACAAATACCGGTTTCGCACCTGCCATCGCTGCTTTACTCAGACCTGCTTCTTTGCGTCAATCAAGTGATCAAACTCAATACTTCTAACCGAGATTTTCCTACTAAGTGCATAACTCTATACAATAAATTACTTCTGCAAACAACGACAGCGCTAACTGGCTACCGGGCCACACTCCTACTGAGTTGATCCGAGTTTACTAATTGTACTTGAGTCTTCGATACAATCATGGCCCCTTATGACCTCAGATAAGAAGGGTGCTCCGTGACGAAGGCTCTGAGGAGGCTCAGGGTATTCCAGCCCCTTAAAGGGAACTGACCGCCTATTCTAAGCGGGATCGGTAATAACCTTTTGTATCGCTTCACGGGTAAATTTTCACAAAGAATCTCCTCAGCAGCTCCAGTCTCCTACGTCTTCCGACTTGCATCGACTAAAAGAGGGGCCAAGCGTGGTCCGGTGTGGGCCGCAGCAGTATGCGATTGCACAGTTTCTCCTCTGATGCGGAATTCTTGTTCTCAGGCTCCCGCTTCCTGCACTGTCATGAGGGCTTGACCGGCGACCATAGGCAGAGTTCATTTTATGAAAGAAGATCTGTCTGTGTCTACCTGTGCATGTATGTGCAGATACTTCTACCCGCACGTTACGAGCACGTACGTGCGTGGATATCCTGCACTTGGCGTGAACTGAAGTCGGGCGCGTTTCTGTCCACTCGCTCCAGCAGGTGTATTTGTCGTGTTAATATGTCTCTGCTAACCAAGCAGCTCCGCACCGCGAAGTAAACAAGATGACGTCTGTGCAGCTTTGTGCTACGGCTGGAGACTTCTAGGGGCAAAACTAGAATTGGGGTTGACCGGTGGGCCACCAACTAGTAGACGGCAAATTGGGAGGATACCATTACAAGCAAAGCGGTGCGAATGATGAGCAACAACACAAAAACCCACTGGCTAATAACTAGTCCGGTTTCTCGTCGTCTTGCCACGAGCAGCCAAGGGGCCTAGCAATGAGTTGCTTGATAAAAGTCTTCGCTGTTGGCCTGTTCATGTGCTCAATTTCCGTCCACATCAGACAAACCCGGCAGGCCGCTAACCAAGCTATACTATAAAATGTAGCGCTACCTAAAGTTACGGGGATAGCACTCTAATTTGTTTAGCCTGGCCACGGACGCAGGCAGGTGGCGGGCGGGTCCGAAAGCAGTGGTTTGGTATTCTGTCCTTCCTAGTCAGCGACAGGGAGACAGGTGACGTGAGAGGCTGAATAGAGGAAATAGAATAGTAAGTTTCGTATACATAATAGCTCTATTTTATCATGAACAGTTCATACGTAGCTATTGTCCAGTGCCTCTAAGATGTTATTGCCAGTGATTGTGTAGCATATAACACGGTGCCTAGACAACGCTGGCCTCCAAAAAGTCTAGATGAGCAGATTTTATATACATGTTTTCGTACTACTCTGAAATCAAAGCAAGCTGCGCATAAAACGCGCAGCCTGGTTCGTTTTATCCTTGCAATTAAACTATTACTTTTGCAGTAGTATATAACTAATAGGTTTAATCCAAGCACCAAGCTTCATGTTTGAATGAGCTAAACACTAACCTGGTTTGAAGATGTGATTTACGATATACCTGACTGTCGCAGTATTCCTTTCTAATATTTTTTACCATTTGCCAGACATCTACTTTATAGACAACAAATGCGAGTTTGATCTCCATCAGATGCTAGTTATTTAGAGCAGTCCCCGACAAAACGCATCAGACAATAATATTAAACGTGCATTTTGTGTATTTCAATGATTGCTTCCGTATGCTAGAATTCAGAATTTACGACGCCGATGGTAAGCTTACTCAATTTATAAGTGTATTTTAACAGGTTAAAGGCTTTTATAACATGCTATTTTTGTGTAGGCATAAGCAGAATACGTTCACAAAAATTACGTAATTAATTAAGTCACACCGGTAACCTTCAGGCGGCCTGCGACTGGAAGACAACCCTTGGCGATGTTCCTGTGAGCTGGCATGGCTAGCGCGTCGACTTCGATGGTGGCTTCGTGAGAAAGCAGGTCAACGTTTCGAACCTTCAACCGCCTTGCAAGTCTATAGAGCTGCCCGTCGTGCAACGTGCACATTACCTAACGGCAGGTAGGATGAAATAAAAGTATTTGTAAAATAACTCCTCTACGTAATAACCGGACATTGATAGCGGAACCGGCTCAGAAGTCTGTTCCGGCGGCATTAAGCTAGGTAACACTGCTGGGACTGTAGCAGGATTCCCGTGACAGTGAAGTGGCGACGCCTTTGCTCGCCAAACGCGGGGACCCGTAATGGCGTAGGTTCAAATATGGGTACAACCACCTTTTTCTTTTCATGCTTGTTTTCATGCTTGCTCAAACGGCTAGCCGTCTGAAGCAATGCTTAACGGCTCAAGTACTAGATGTAGAACTCGAAACATTTTAGACTATCTCAATTATGATTATGGTGTTGACATTTGGCTGATTTACTAAAGTAATAGGACGTAATGCCGGCAGACGGTAAGATACGTTTCAATGTGTAATTTAAAAAACAATGCTACATTTTTTATTATCTTTTCGATTGGGATATTTACGTATGGGCACGAAAATAATTATAAATGAAAAACTCGTATTGTAACTTGAAAGTTCGTACCTGTTTATTAAGGCACGTATTTAACAAACGTGAACCACACTATGTAGTTTCTCAATTCTATATTGTTATCATTTTAATAAAAACTAATAGATTTGTATCTATACTATGAATGAGCTAAACACTAACCTGGTTTGAAGATGTGATTTACGAGGTATTTGACTGTCGCAGTATTCCTTTCTAATATTTTTTACCATTTGTCATACAAAAATGCAACTAAGGCGGATCTTTTCTATTAATGGGTAAATCAATCTAGCTAATGAAGGCACTTAATATCATGTTTGCACACCTAAAAATTATTGGCTAGGGTCGTACTCCGAACTGGATAATTCGATCTAAAAAAAGACACTAGCAACCGTAATACTAAGAAGGAAGGACAGAGATTGCCTGCTTTCATTTCTACTACGGCTTTGTAAGCTTCAATCGTTTCTCATTTCGCCTCAAGCAATAGGTCTCGGCCATTTCTATTGGTCATCTCAGGTAGTTAGGTAGCTGGAAAACTATATAGACCACTTACCTATACAATTTTATGTTATGTCTAGTTGCTTAACTGTAGCCTGCGGAGCTGGGCAATATTTTTCCTTTAAGACTTGAAAAGCTTGTTTCGCTCGAATTCAAACATTCAGTTTCAGACTGCATCAACATTATCATCATTATAGTCCACGTAAAAGACCTCTAGTGTTAAGACAGAGATCGTACATTTTAGTATACATGTGAAATAGCTTACTTTCTGTGACATTAGGACCATAGCCTTAGACAGCTCCTTGATCTGACTAATTATGAGCCTGGTTGTACGATACACAATAAACTTACTACTTGAGAATGGTATGAACTATATATACCTAAATTCATATTAAGCGGACAGAAATAGATGACTAGTTGATTTTGGCTTAACATTGGTGTAGTATTATTATAGTTTTTATAATTGTTGTACAAAATCGCTTAGTGGACTGAAACGTAAGGCGTGAGAAACTTCACAAGGGTATGAAAAAGGACAATGGAAAAAGTTGGAAACTGTTTTTCGATCGTTGTCGACAACGACAAAAACTGGCAAATAACGAGGCCGATTCGAGCACCGATCGAAGCTACGGAGAGGCTGCATGACGTTTGTGGACGAAACTGAGCGCTTTGCCGATCTTTCATTCAACCCGACGGCCTGAATCGCTTTTCCTTGGGTTCTTTCCATGCGCTCCTCTTGGGTTTCTTTCCATGGAGACTCGAAGTTTTTGAGTTCTACGTCTGACACTGCCGTCGAGCATTTCCTATCTATATACAGACCAATCTCAACTAGACTTTTCTCTATGGCCGTTCCGCGTATGTAGTCTTGCCGATAGTCGGGTAAGATCACGAAGACACCGATACTGCTAGCTGGATCACTATAGTAGAAACAATTGGGAATGGCTTATAAATTGTAAGTAGATGTGTATAACGTATGTTAAAATGTGTCGAAATACTCTTATGGATGATGACATAATTGTCAAATGCGAATAATCAGATAGTCCATAAAATGCAGTCAGCACTCAACCTCGTAGCCAGACGAATTTCTCAGGTGTCCGTATGAGCCCAAGTTATTTAAGACAGAACGGGCGACTTTTCAAAATAAGTCGTCCCATATAATAATAATATCTCAGTTAATAAGGGCTGTAAATAGCCGAGTTCCAATCCTTATCCATCATATTCATAGCCTGCACGAATTAGGCAGTGTTCGAATCTGTGACGAAATGTTTAATTTTTATTTACCATGAACCTGAAGCTTTCCGGCTTTGTTGTTTGTAACATAAACCTTTATTCACCAAGAGTATGAAAGTGCAATCTATATAATTGCAACGTTGCTTATTCTTTCCATAGCTATTATGTGAAACGTATAGATGTCTAACAAGTAATCGTTGTTCGTTTCAGGGCAATGCCTATTGTAGAGTTCTCACCGCAAGAGTTTCATTGTGCTATAACAGGCGCTTCGGTAGGCTCAGCAGGATCGAAAAAACTTTTAGGCACTGTTTTTTTACTAATCGCCGGCGGAACGCTATTACCTTGATAGTTGCTGTGACTAGTCGATATCCCGAATGCGGACATAAATAGCGCATTTTCGCAATACTAGGGGTATAAGGAATGAGTCAAGAATAGGTAAATTTGATGGAGCTGTACTGATTTAAGCCACACCTTTTATGTTTTGATCCTGTCATGACTTTCCCATCAATTACAGTGAACTTTATTATGGTCCACAAGCATTATACCTTTTCTTTTAACAAAATGTTCGTTTTCTGTAACTATATAGGTCATAATAGATTTGATGGTAACCTCTCCTCTATACTTTATGATCAAGTTTTTTTGGCGCGATACATCCGCCTAAACTTTTCCCTGTCTTTTTGCAAATAATAATAATCATATATTATAGAATAAGCTTTGCCTGCACTTTGATTCTTTTTATGCGCTAGACGTCTGGAGTAGAATATCTGAAGGTTATAATAATATTGTACACATTCGGGGCAGAGATTCGAAAACGTACAGTTTTTACTTGTTAAATGTTTAAAAAACATCAACTCAAAAAAGAAGGAACATTTTTGGGAATTCGATTGGATAAAATATCTTCCAGTACGTCCGAGTCTAACTTGTAATCGTCCCACGGGATGCGTGATCTTTCCTGTCAGTACCTAACACGGGTACGTACATAAAGCTCAGATCAAGTTTAGCCGCCTACTTACGTGGGACCTCTAACGTTGTAATGGACTAGAAGTAAACGAGGCGAATTGCATAAAAAAAAGTGCAGCTGCGCCTATTCAACTCCAAGAAGGTCCATAGCACTCACTAGGTACAATGAAACGCAAACGTCATTTGGATAAGAAGTATAGAAGTGGATGAAATAAAATAGAATTCGTTGAAAAACTATTCTGTTCGTTGCTAGTGATCAGAACAAAACATCACTTAAAGTACGTTGACTTCAGCAATAGCACATTCCAAACCATGTATTCTACTCACATCACTAACATATTTCTTACTTCAAAAAGCGTTTAACTCGTAAGACGTAAAGAGAAGACTACTTCCTACACAGTTTGGCCAGTTTCAATTTTAACGCCTGAGGAGTAAAAACGCACGAACAACAATAAATGTTATTGAATGGTTCTATGTAACTTTAGTGGCGCATATCCGGAGAATTATCGCGCTCAGGAAGGTCAACACCAAAGCATGCGCCAAAATAATTGGTTAGGTTAACCCAAAAACGCGCGCAATTTAAACTGTTGGCATTTTCAACAGCCTGTGGTGAGAGATATGTACGAAATGAGTCGCTGCATAGTTATTCAGTGGCTATTTTTACGCAGTATGAGTTAGATCTAACCCTTGCTTAGCAAGCTTTTTTGCTCACCAGATATAAAAGTTGTACAATGTATTTAAATACGAAAAAAAACATACCTTGAAGCAGACCATTTGAATATGGTATATAGGAGACAAGCGGGAATTCAGACCTTATAGCTACGGGAAACTGTACGCTTATAATGAGGAGAAGCGTGTCACAAATTGCTTTAAACAGAACTGTCGACGTACGAAACCAATCTAGCATGTGAGAGCAACATAGACGATCTTATTGTAATTCAGCTACCACCGTGTAGAGTTACTTAGAGGATGGATTAAGAACGTCCTGACCTAGCACGCATGATACTGGACGAAACATCTTGCTAAGCATGAAAAGCTAATGTGTCAAATAAACGTGCCGATGTAAATATCTATATAAAATGTAATAATGATCATGAGCGCTGTAGACAAAAATTCAATATATATATATATATATATGCTTCTTATTTGTTTTTTCGCTATTGAAAAGTTCTTGACACGGTAAAAAAATCTTTAGGAATCCCTTACGCTTGGATTACAATAACCCTATCCTTCTATATTAGTACAGAAATGATATTAAGCGGTGCCACAATTATCAATATAAACGCAATATTGATGTGTGTGTGTTACGTGTAGAAAGTAGCATGCGTGTACTAGCAGTGCCAAAAAAGAATTAAACGTCCCACAAGGGGTTATAAATGGTCATCGGAAATAATGCCCTCAAATATTCCGAAAGAAATATATTATCCATTGAAACGAACTACCTATCTGAATAGGAGAAAATAGATTGCCGAACGTAGAACCTCTAAGTATGCTAAAAATTGCAAGACGTACCGTTAAGTTGCTATGTGTACCCAAACAAATACATGAGCATACGAAAGGTCATGCCGAGCTCGTGCAGATTGTGCTCGGGTCATCGATTTTCTCTTTAACTTTTTAGCTTTTTTGTCAATGAACGAATAAAATCATTGAACACCAATGTTCTTAACTGACTATTATATTTTCGTGATGCGGGCGTACGAAGGTCAACTTTCCATTTCATTCAAATTTATTATTTGTTCCTTATAGAACCATCTTAGTACATCGAAGGAATATA